AAAATGACTTACACATTATTGTTGATGATAAAATAATTACCTACTACTTCACAAAGAACTGGTATCCTGCAGTTTGTGTTATATCATAGTGGGATGGTTACTGAAAACTGAGTATGGCATGGCACAGCCCCACCAAGAATATTTTTCACCAACCACCACTGCTGAGGTCTACAACCCTGTCCGTTTATTTCAATCATCTAAAAGGTTCAGTGTGTAGAATTTAGTGACATCTATTGGTGAAGATGCATTTTCCAGCTGAATACCCCTCACCCTCCCCTTCTGGAAAGTGTGTTTGTGCTGGTGTATCAGCTACAAAAAGTGCTGTCCATAGATGCTCTATATAAATGTGTGTGTGAATGGCGAAACAAAACTGTGCTGTAAAGCATTTTGATTGGTCATCAAGACTAGAAAAGCTCTATATAAATACAGATCATTTACCATTTACATATGCTAGACCTTCAAGGCAACTATGAAAGCACAGACATGCTCACGCTCCTCTGTGATTCTGACATGCCAAAGCTTTTGACTGCATAGTCACTAAAATTGCCTTACCAAGGTCAATGGCAGACGCTATTGCCAGAGCAACCAGGGCCTCATTCTGCATGATGACATGCTCACTCGTAGCCATGGAGGTAAGGTGCCGAACCCCATCTGCTTTGGTTACAGCAAGAACAACTTCCTGTCAGAGAGAGGAAATCAGCCCATACAGAAAGTGAGTGTGTGTTGTGTTTGTGTAAATACATATTCTGCCATCATATTTTCAAATCAGTCATGAGTTCAACATTTTGCTAACTTTCCAATAACACAACTTACAGGACTGCGGCTGTGTCTGATGAGGGCAGCCAATAGGCGGCTGGCTTCTCCTCGGACTCCTGCATGATCTTTGGCTTCACACCATTCCATGACCCGGGCCAGCAGTACAGCATCTCTCCCCAGCACCAAAGCTGCCTCATCTGACACATGTAGCACAGCAGAGAAATGGAAAACATTTTGAAAGAGAACCAAAAAAAATTAGGAAATATCACCACACGTTGCCTCTGAGTTGTTCAGGGCAAACAATCACAAAGATTAAGTTCTCAAGTCAAACAAACAGCCCCCTGATGTTCCAATACTATGTACATTACAATGAGAATATGAGAGAGGTGCATGAAATCATTTATCCTTAATAGAACCATATTTTGAGAATGGTGCTCGAGAAGATGATAATAAGTCAGATTGTTCTTCCTGGGAACATGCTCAACAAAAAGGACACCCGGAAGGGACACCAGCTACTTGATAATAATTAATACATCATTTGATTCATAGTCTAATCAAAATTACATAAAATAACACTCTATGTGTTTGATGGCAACTGTGACTGGAACAGATGACGTGCTTTTTAGTTTGGGGGTGCAGATGCTTTGGACATTCCTGGCCTGGCTTCAGGCCTCACTGAGCCAAGATGTGGAAAGCCAGCCTATGACCTGCAGGTTGACCTCCACCTTTATCTCTATACCATAAAACCGCCATTTCGGAAAAGAAACCAAGAACAAGGGTTGCTGTTCATTCAAACAAACTGGTCAATAGAAACAAACTCACCTTGTCCATCCACCATCATGCGTAGTGTACCCAACAGTTTGAACTGAACAGGTGGCATGTCTGAGCGTAGCAGGGTCTTTATCCTCTCAGTCACCCCATCTTCAAGCATTCTCACTTTGTTTGTGGCTGAAAGACACAGACGATATACTGACACACTTGTTTGTGTGCATGGCTTGTATAGTTTATAAGGCCAAAAGGGAAATTTTAGTATCCATGTCATTTTAAATATAATTTCACTGTGAGAATAAATTAACACTCAGACCCAAGCTCAACATGACACGACTAAAATTAATAGTGTTTACCTCTGCAACCACAGAGTTCAAGTGAATAATGTTGGTATTAATCAGTGTTCCTCTGGGTTCTGTGCTCTGCAAAATGTTATTTATGCTCCATTAGGAAACATTATCAGGACATACCTAAATTTTCACTGTTATGCGGACGACATCCAGTTATACTTGCCAATAAAACCAGAACAATGAAATCATTTAACTAGACTTCAAGCATGTTTCAAGGATATAAAAACCTGGATGACCCGTCATTTTCTATCCTATTAAACTCAGATAAAAGGTTGGCCCAAGCATCTTAGAGATACATTATCTAATGATATAGCCATTCTAGATGAAATTGCCCTTGCTTCTAGTGAAACCATCAGGAATTTGGGAATCATCTTTGATCCTCAATTTGTCCTTTGAGTCTCATTTACAACAAATCTCATACATTCTTTCACTTACATCAGGGACGTCCTGTCTCAAACAGATGCATAAAACTTAGTCCACATCTATTACATCCAGTCTTGATTATAGTAATTCCTTATTATCAGGCTCTAGCAGTAAGACTTTAAAGACTCTGCAGCTTGTCCAAAATGCTGCAGCACATGTTCCAACAAGAACCAGGTAAAGAGACATATCTCCTGTCTTAGCTTCACTAGGCTTGCTGTTAAAATTCTCCTCCTCACCTACCAAGCTCTTCATGATATGGCATCATCAGAGCTTAAAGAGCTCATAGTACCATATCAACCTACTAGCGCACTGCACTCCCAGAATTCAGGCTTACTTGTTGTCCCTAAAATATCGAAAAGTAGAGTAGGAGCCACAGCTTGTCAAGTTCCTCTCTAGTTTGATCATCTCCCAGTTTCAGTACGAGAGGAAGACACCCTCTCTACGTTTAAGAGTAGGCTTAAAACCTTCCATGATAAAGCTTATAGTTAGAGCTGGTCCTGGACTGTCTTTGGCCAGCTCTAAGTTATGCTATAGACCTAGATTGTACACATGACAAATGGAGCATAGACCATGATCAGGGCCAATAATCATGATGGTGGATCACGAATTAGAGATTGTGGTGGTGGATTGTGATTGTGGTGGCAGCTGATCATGGACTATGATTACAAGTCTGCTTGATATACAATAAGTGTACTCACAGGGATGTGCATAGACATTTGGTGGGGGGGGGGGGCTTCAAATGAGAATAAGGACACTTCTCATAATTATTTATAAAAAAAACTTTTTTAAAATCAAAGTTAAATAATAATATCCTCACACTCACACAATTGTTACATTACCAACAGTAGTACAATGAATAGTTATTAGATGAGGAGCCTACAATCAAAAGTATACAGTTCAAGACAGGACACTACAGGCAAAAACATTGCTAATGGTCAATTTTGAGATTTTGGTCTATTTTTCTTCCATCTCTTCTTTCACTGTAATGTAAATAAAACTTCCAAAAATACACATTTACATGGTGTTTGTTTTACACTCTGTCTGTTTGCTAGCAAGACACAAGTTAACTATATTTGTTCTTGTCTTTAGGCTTATTAGCTGTAAACGGGAGGCACTGGTAGCTTATCACCACTCACCTCCACACAAGCAAAGAAAAACCACCACAACTGGAACAGGAGTTGGGAGGTGCTGCCTGTCTGACATGACTGTGATGACTGTGTGCTCAGTCAATAGAGGTGTGCACCTTCACTCGCCTCATGATTCGATTACGATTCAGCAGTCAACGATTCGAATGCACAACAATGCATCTTGATGCATTTCAATGTATGTATATTACTGACATGGCTGCTTTTTCATCAGTTAACATTAGTTAATAAAATCAGTCGGACAAATATGAACTTCCTTTTTATTTAGAAAGTGCTTTAAAAGGAACAATAGACTGTTACTGTTATTAAGTGTGTTGTAATTTACAAATGAGGTTCAATTCAACAATCCGACTACAACAGAAAGTCTCTGACAGTGGTCAGTGCTCTCCACAGTTTTAACATGTATGCTACACCTAAGGCTTTAAAGGACAAACTCTGATTAGTGTATCAAGGTGGCCCCGCCTGGCCCTCCCTTGGCAGCGCCACTGCACTGAGGCGCATTACTCCATCAAGTGACTCTGCTCCTCTGATGTTTTCTTATCATTGCACTTAGAACTGATCTTTATTAAACCTGCTGAATTCATAATTATGTTGCGCTGCGTCTTAACCCTGATGTCCTGACTGTGCATGTCATCGCGTTGTGTAGCAGGTTTAAACATGTGTCTGGAGCGAATCAAACAAACACAAAGTTAATGTCAATACTGTGTGTGTCCTAATAACTTGTGATCAGTAATGGTGTTTATTGTTAAAGTGTAAAGTGAACGCATGTCAGAGGAGGAGTGAGGAGGAAACACAGGTCTCTGACAGAGACTCTGACACAGGAAGACCGGAACTTTAATGAGCGCCTGTCCTGAAGCAGTGCTGGTTATAATTATTCAGCGGCTGGACATGAATTGATTACGTTCTGTCTCTGCATCGATGCAGAGTTGTCCATGTCGCAATGGATGTCCACAGCTCTAGTGCAGGAGACGTGGAGGGAGGGAGGGTAGAGAGTAGTTTAATCTCCTGACCTGATATTTTTATCATTTATTCAATCAATATATTTGTTTGACAGTGCACAAACAGGAAGATATTGTAATGCTTTTTTTTTTTTTTTTTAAAAACAGCACCACAGAAAAAGGGCACTTTCTCTCAAGGAAGAAAAAGGGCACGGGCTCAAGCCCCCTTTGATGTCTATGTGTGCACGTGCAAGCCTACTCACATATTCTAACATTACTGGCAATAACTCCACTAAAATTCTCATAGCTTCTCCCTTCATTTCTGTCCAACATTTTTTTATGTATAAATACTGAAAGTAATAGTTCACTGAAAAATTTAAATTCAGGGAAAACAGTGTTGCATCCAAATCAATGCAATTGAAGTAACTGGGGACGATTACCATTATGTTAAAAACTGTTTCTGCTAATCAATGTTGTACATATTGTAATTTTGTTAATGTGCTCAGCTACACGCAGCACCTATTGCACTGGGGATCCCAGAGAGGGATCCCTCCTCACATGAGAGGGATCCCTCCTCACATGTGTCTCTCTCTGAGTTTTCTATGTTTTTTCCCCTGTTAATAGGTTTTTTGGTAGTTTTTCCTTACTCTTGTTGAGGGTTAAGGACAGAGGATGTCACACCTTGCCATCCCCATGAGACAAATTGTGATTTGTGAATGTGGGTTATACAAATAAAATGTGATTGAGTGATTAACTGATCTATAAAAGGGTAAGAGTAATGAGATTTCTGCAGAGGCGAAAGCATCAGCATACACTTTACTGGGTCAAAGTAAATGCCTACACAATTTCACATCGTGCAGTTGTAAGTTATTAGTAATTGTGTTTGGTGTAGTTTTAAAATGTTTCGTATGTGCAACATGACTATGTTGCTTTACTTTAGCATATATTATAAGTAGGAAAGAGGATACTGTGCTGCACCTAGTACCAGGGGGACTCAGGTGTAGCCTCAAACAAGTTGAAGTAATTTTGAAGATGGCAGCATGTGTATCTTGTGTTCATATTAACGCTGTCCTTTAAAAGATAGGTGACAGTGTTTAAGTAAGTAAACTAATACCAGCAGTGGTAGATAGTAATATTTAGTTATTGGAACCATATCTCTACTGTTTTAGTTTGATCCATACCAGGAATAGCCAGATTCCTGAGCGCACTCAGTCCAGCATGTTGAACAGACACGTCTCCCTCGTCAACATGTTGCTCCAACAAGGTCAGGATGTGGGGAACCACCCCAAGGTCCAGCATCTTCACACAGTTACTGTCTGGAAGAAACACAACAGGCAAAAAGACACTCAGTTCTTTGCATTAATTGTCAGTCCAAGGCATGTGTGTTCATGTTAAACAGAAACATTCTCAGAGCATTTCCTGGAGGGAACACCAAAGGGGACCATCAGCATCAACTTTGACACCATCCGGTTACCCCTCTCTACTGTCTACCCCAACCCTCCACCACTCCTGCTCTCACCTCCCACCCTCCCTCCACTCCTACCCCACCTTCTCTCACCTTCCCTCTCACCCTCACCCTCCATAACACCCAATCCCCTCCTCTCCTCGCTGGAGGCCCTCTACAGGAAGGGACAGAGCAGGATGTTCTTTCTGAGAAGGCTCAGGTCTTTCAATGTAAGCACAAGAGTGCCACAAATGTTTTACCAGTCTGTAATGGCCAGTGTCATCTTCTTTACTGTGGTGTGCTTGAAAGGTGACATAGTGAGCTGTGGCACCAACAAACTGAACAAGCTGGAGAGGAAAACCCGCTCTGTGGTGGGGATGGAAATGGACTGTGTGGAGGCAGTGACTGAGTAGAGAATTAGTGGAAAACTAAAAGCCATCATAGACAACCCCTCTTATCCCCTCTCTGCTGACTGAGGCAGCTCAGGAGCACATTCAGCCACAGAATCATCCAGCCACGTGCCTCAAAGCGCTTGGGGGGCTTCTTTGTGCCATCAGCCATTAGACTGCACAACACCACAGCACCTATGGTCAAATACTAAAATCTATATCTCAGGGCAGAATGTTGCCTTGTGTATATATAGCATGATCTTTACTTTTGTATAAATTGTTTCTATTTTTATTCATATTTCTTTCTCTTGCTACTGCTGTGTCATTTGTGAATCTCCCTTATGGAGGATAAATAAAGTTGTCTCTTATCTTATCTTAACTTATTGTCATGACTCTGAGCTCTGTTATCAAGACTTAGGGGATTTTGTTGGATACTTTTTGATACTTTTGAGTTGATATTTGGTTGTTTTTCGCCTGAGTTTTCCACTTCATGTTTTATTTTGAAATTATGTTCCTTGTGTATCTGTAGCTTAATTTCCTGCCTTTGTCCTGTTTCCCACCCTTACGCTCATCTGCACCTGTTCTGAATTGACTCATATGAGTCAATTCGTCATCTTTCACTCATCACTGTCTTTCCCTGTACATCATGTTTCCTTTGTTGATCTTGTCATCCTGTCACCTTGTTCATTCAGTTTCCGATGTTTTTCTGTTTTTTGGACTTGTTTGGGGCTGTTTTTGAACCCTGTTGTGTTTGTTGTAGTACCTTTGCCGTAATTAAAGGACACCTTTTGTTAACCTTGCTTCTACATTTTGGGTCCAGCTGCACACCTCACCCTGACACTTATTGATCTTATCCTTGTGCCAGCAGTGTGTAGGTGATGTATAAAAGAGATGAATTGTATGAATATGTTTGTGAATGGGTGCATGGGAAAAACAAAAATTGTACTGTGAAGCACTTTGAGTGCTCATCAAGACTAGAAAGGCGCACATAAATACAGACCATTTCCAATTGTACCATTTCCATGATAATATCTTTTATAGACACCAAAAATTCAACACACACGTCAGATGACAAACACAGTGCTAGTAAGCCAGAAACAGTGGCTACACCTAACTTTTAGTTTATGTGCTACATACAGTAAAACAATACAAGCCATATGCTACCTAGCTGCAAGCTGCACTTCAGCTGCTGGACTGTCCTGTGCTGTAGTCAGCAAGAGTGAATGCATCCCAACAATCCTATTTAAAACAGACATTTATCAGCTAAAGCTTCTCACTCTATCAAAACATTTTATTTGTATATTGCCCAATTCAATTCAGTTTTATTTGTTTTGCGCATAATCTTAATATACATTATCTCAAGGCACTTTACATAGAAAATACTTAAAAGTTGTAGAGAAACCAACTGGTCCCACAATGAGCAGCACTTTGGCAACTGTGGAGGGGAAAAACTCCCTCAATAACTGTAAGAAACCTCTAGCAGAACCAGGCTCAATGTGGGCGGCCAAATCATAAGGTCGACCCTTAAAATACAAGATCCAGATGCTCCAGCTCTGACAGGAGCACCAACCAGTGGATGCAGACAAGATAGATCCATTTTATAAAACTGCATGGCAGCTAGATGGAGGGGATTTCTTGGCCCTCCTGTACAAAGAATAACTTTACACAGTTTTGCTTCTGACTACATTAAGGGGGCCTTTTTGCTGGGTTTCACCACACATAGACTGTAGAGGCGACACCTTGCTGAGAAATATCTCACCATTTCTGGCAAAGTTGGCGATGGCCAAGGCTCCAGACAGCTGCAGCTGAGTGTTGGAGCTCTGTAGCCAGGACAGAACATCCTGATATACCAGACCTGATCCCTCACCAAAGCACTTCTGCATGGACTCATCTAAACAACAAAAAGAACAAGATTGTAGTCTTAGTCAACTTTCATTTAATGTGCATTCAGACAGATTATATAAATGCAGTGATAAAGGACAAGACAGGATAGCCAGTGTTATTTACAGTAAATTACATGTCCCATAGCTCATTCTGCAGATTAAGTGTCAGGAGCAGAGCAATTTCTTTGGCTGTCTACTGTGTACATCACTTACCTCCCAAAAGCAGAGACACTATGAGGTTGGAGGCAATCTTGATGCTGCAGAGGTCATGGGGGTCAGAACCTCCTTGCAGGCACTGAATCATCTCTGATAGAGCCTCTGGTACTCCTGACTCTGCAAACTGTAGTTTCAGTGTATCTGTTGGTACAACACAACCAGGTATGTTTTACTCCTGTCATTAAATGTTGTCTTCATATATATATATATATATATATATATATATGAAAAAAAAAGAAAAAAAAAAGTTTTTACTTCTCTCAGACTGTATTAATTGTTCCCAATTGGGGCAGCACAGTTGTGCCGTGGTTAGCACCTGGTTAGCAAAACAAGGTTCCATTTGCTCCCTGTGTCTGCGTGGGTATTCTCTGGGTACTCTGGCTTCCTCTCACAGTCCAAAAACATGCAGAATGGGGTGAGGTTGATTGGAGCTCTATACTGATCATAGGAGTGACAGTAAATTGTTGTTTTTTTCTTTATGTTGGCCCAGCAATACACTGGTGACCTGTCCTGGGTGTGGCCTGCCTCTTACTCGTTGTCAGCTGGGATTGGCTCCCATAACCCCCACCGCAACCCTTGCAGGATAAGTATATATAATGAATGGATGGATGGGTTCTTACCACTCTCGCCCAGTGCACCCAGTATTTCCAGGATGACATGTCTGCGTTCGGCATCAGGTGCCCGTTTCAACTGAAATGTCAGTACATCTGCCACATCCAGCTCTGCCAGGGCTTCCCTCGCGGAGTCTGCAAGCACAAGGGTCTGTAACTATAGACAGTATTGGAGATGACTAATGATCCTGACTGCCATCTGACATCTACTGTTAGTTTAACACATAACTTTTTGACACTTTTGAAAAAACTACAATAAATCATTGTTACAGTGTATGCTGTAAATTGAGCTCATAGACATTCTCCATTACGAATTGAGTTGGGGAAGTATTGAAGAATGGATTTGTCCATTTTGTCTCCCCACTGATTTCTCTTGGCACTGTACATAAAGATAGGCATGGTGGAATTGCTACAATAGTGAGTGTTACAGTATGTTCCAGTACTTGCTGTATCTTTGTACCTGTGAGCGATTTAGAGTCTAAAACTTGTGAGAGTAAATGTAGAACACTTAAACATAACACAGATTACCAAGAGCAGCTGTGAATGTGGCCCAAATTACATTGAATTAATAATCAATGACTATAATAAATACAACTGCTAAATAATCACCCATGTCAGCCAGGTTACAAAGGGCCAGTAGGCAAACGTTAACCAGTGGGTCGTTGTCTGAATACTCCTTCATTATGGACACCAGTCTGGGTATTACGCCACTCTGGACTAGCATGTCCTGTTGGTATGCTGGTTGGGAGGACAGAGAGGGACAATGGAAGTGATCAAAGTGAGAGAAAAATCAACTTTTAATTATTGGTTATTTTAATTATGAATGCTTTTGTTTCATTGCTTTGCTTGTTTACAGTGATTTTGTATTTGAAAAATATAAACCATTAACATTGCACCTATTTACACCTGAAGACTGACTTCTCTGTAAGCTCAATAGAACAGACTCTACCTCAGCAGCACACATCTCATCATCAGCAATTTGCCAACTCACAGTTGTCAAAGCAGATGCGTCCAATGGCTCTGCCAGTGTTCAGCAGCATCTCCTGGTTGTTGCTGTTCAGATGAGGAAGCAGTACCTTCACCAGGCCTGCCTCAATGCACGACTCCCTGACTGCAGCTAAAACACACAAACGGATACGATTTTACTTCTTTCATATCCTCTTCTGTTTCTGTGACAGTAAATTAACTTCTCTTTTCAATTCAATTCAGTTCCATTTTATTTGTATTTTATTACCACATGCAATGTAATGTGCCATGATTCTACAATACTTATCAGTAATTAATTATAATATAAATTGTTACTTTTATCAATAATAATCAATAACTTCTTTACACTGTTATTTTTTTCATTTTAACTAGTCAGAGCTGATACCTGATGGTGCTCCTCCCCCACTATCTCTCTTTCTTCTCTCCCCTCTTTTCCACCCATCTCCCCTCTCCTCCCCATTTTTCTATGCTCACCCCAACCGGTCGAGGCAGATGACCGTCCACATTGAGTCGGGTTCTAGAGGTTCTCCACAGTCGCCAAAGTGCTGCTCATTGTGGGAACTGTTGGGTTTCTCTATATTAATAAGATTTTAAGGTCTGGACCTTCTATGTAAAGTGCCTTGAGATAATGTATATTTTGATTTGGGGCTATATAAATAAAATTGAATTGAATAGAACTTCCCATATCAGTGTGTGGAAATGTACAACCCCAACTCAGAAAAAGTTGGTAGCATGGAAAATACAAACAAAAAAAGACAGCAGTGATTTCTAAATTTAATTTGACTTTATGTTTTGTCTGCTCAACTTCATTTTATCTGTGGATATACATCCATCCCTGCCAGTCAGACCTGCAACACATTTCAAAAAAAGTTGGGACAGGGGCAATTTAGGGCTAGCGATGAAGTTATTTGAATAGGAGATGTCAACAGATGACTGTAATCATGCCTTGGTACAAAAGCAGCATCCAGGAAAGGTCTAGTCCTTTAGGAGCAAAGATGGGCCAAGGATCGCCAGTTTGCCAACAATGTGTGAGAAAATTATTGAAATGTTTAAAAACAGTGTTCCTCAAAGAAAGACAGGAAGGGATTTGGATGTTTCATCCTCTGTGGTGAATAACATTATTAAAAGATTCAAGGAACCTGGAGGAATTTCAGTGCGTAAAGGGCTCAAACCTTTTTCAAGCACTACAATACGTAGTTACAACCACAAATCCCAGTTAAAACTTTACTGTGCCAAAAGGAAACCTTATGTTAACCGTGTCCAGAAGCACTGTCGACTTCTCTGGACTTGGAGGCATCTGGGATGAACCATAACACAGTGGAAACGTGTATTGTGGTCAGACGAGTCAGTATTTCACATTGTTTTTAGAAGAAATGAACACCATGTGCTCCAGATCAAAAATGAATAGGACCATCCAGACTGTTACCAGCAACAAGTCCAAAAGTCAGGGTCTGTCATGGGCCAGGGTTGTGTCAGTGTCTTTGGCAAAGGTAACTTACACTTCTGTGATGGCACCATAAATGCAGAAAAGTACATAGAGATTTTGAAGCAGCATGTGCTGCCTTCAAGACGACATCCAAGCATATTTCAAGAAGACAATGCAAAACCACATTCTGCACACATTACAAAGGTATGGCTGTGGAAGAAGAGGGTGGGAGTGCTGGACTGGCCTGTGTACATTCCCGACTTGGCCACAAAAGAGAATGTGTGGCACAATTTGAAGCGTAAAATGTGACAACAGAGACCCTGTACTGTTGCACACCTTAAGATTTAAATAACATAGACAAAATGACACCTGAAACCTTTAGCTATCAAAATGATCTGGCAGGATGGATACTAATGCTGGAGAGGCAGTTTTGGCCCTTCTGGCTGCCAGTTGGAGATTATCTGAGAACAGAAAAGAAGACATGTTCAAATTGGTCCACAGACTTCCTGTCAAGATATGATTCCCCTCCCATGACTGCCGGGTGCAGTTTGCCTGGTTTTTCGAGTCCAAATCGCACCAAATTGGACATTGCATTTTCTTGGGCCCTAAAATAATACACATGACAAGTGTGACACCGCTCAGATGAGCAGTTCTCAAGGTACGCATTCCACATACACATAGACAGACAGAGGTTTCTGGAACTAGTAGAGACATTTATGAATAATATGATCTGGGAATAAAATATTAAAACTGATAACAAGTGTGGCAGTATACTACTGTACCTTCACGGGCCATCTCTGCCACCACCAGAGCCACCTGGCAGCTCAGGCTGCTTTTACTTTGTAAAGCCTGAGCCAATGTGGGTAGAATCCCACTATTCACAATCGCAACAGCAGCATCTTTCTCTGCGGACACACAAATACATTTTTTTAGAATAAAATTGCGTCAGGATATTCAACCACAAATGACTACTGCCACCATGGTTTGGCATGTTTGGTATGTGTGAGTGTGTGTGTGATTGATATGGCAGGTTTGGCATGGGCATGGTTTCCCTCTGCAGGTTCCTGGCATGCCTGCAGTTGATTTCCACTAATCACCTGATGCAGTATAAGATCCTTGGTCTTCTTTCCACTGGTTGCTAGATTCCACAGTTAGACTATGCTCTAGTCAATGTCTGAGTCATGCAATTGGGTCCAGTTTCCGCTCCAACCATAACACCCACAAACGTTTTCATTACCACCCAAGTAGTGTTGGGCACAGGTCTTTCTTCAGACCTTGCAAGAAAGCAAAGGATGTCGTACCTTGTTAAGCCCTCTGTGAAAAATTATACAAATCCTAGAGAGTCCCTCTTAATGTGTTACTTTATACCTGTAATATAGAAGCCAGTGTCTGCTAAGCCCTTCTTGTTGTTCCAAGAGTCTGTAAGAGTAGAACAGGGTCCTCTCCTGTGGAACCAGCTCCCACTCTGGGTTCAGGAGGCAGACACCATCACTACATTTAAGGTTAAAGGTCCAGTGTGTAAGATTTAGGTGAAAGGGAACAATTAGCAGAAATTTAATGTCGAATAATCCTCATGATGTTTTCATTTGTTTATTTCATCTAAATTCATCATCTCATATTTCATATGAACTGTAGTTTACTTTACCCGAGAAAAGGCCCTTTATATTTAAATACTTTATATTTACATCAAGGGGGTCCTCTCTACAGAGGCTACCATGTTTTTTACATTAGTCCAGACTGGACAAACTAAACACCTTTGAGTTTTTATGACAATTAAAGACTACCAAAGTTTCTTTTTCATGTTTGGAAGGAGAGGGTGAGGTGAGGGGTGTTCAGCTGCAACATGCAGTTTCAGCACTAGATATCACAAAATTCTACACACTGTACCTTTAAGTACCTTGAGATAATGCAAATTATGATTTGGCACTATACAAATAAAACATTTTGTTGAATAAAGTGTAACATGCATTTCCTTATCTAAGGGTGTATATGAAGCTCTGGTTAGACCTTAATGTGCCCATAGACCTAAATACATGGATGCCTCATTGACATATTTGGTCCATTGCTGTGATACATCAATGTGGCTGCCATATTGAACCAGGCAGGACTAACCTGAAAACACATACTGCTAAACAGTGGAGCTGTGGTTTTTCACAACACTTTATTTCTAATTTCTTGACCAACTGCAATGAGATGTTTTTTCAGGGTTTGTGATCTACATGGTGTGCAAAAACTTTTGTAGGCATTAATTAGTGCAGTAGAACATACAAGGGATATTCTCCATCTTGTCCTATGTTCTAAAATGGGACAGTGTTTAGTTTAAAAGGCATAGAGGTAATGATGTCTGATCTACTGAATGGGCCAAATGGCTTTGATAGTACTGCCATACAAGCAGTCACCAGTCAGATTTACCTTTAGCCTCAGCGTACCCTTAAGTTTGGCTAACCCTTACCCTAACACTTGATGACGTTAAGGTGCACAACTGAAGTTATGTCCCTAACATCCGCTGGTGGCCACTAGCACTTGCTAACATCTACTGGTAGTTGGTAACTTAAATTTTGCAGAAGACCTTTAAAGGTACAAGGGACATATACCATCTTGTCCTATGTTCTGAAACGAAAGAGACATCACCCCTGTATGAGTGTGTGTGAATGTGTGTGAGGGTTTAAAATGTAACCCCAGGATCCACGTCTTTTTTCAAAAATCAAAGTCAACAAGAGGAGTGTTAACCAATAAATAAATAAATTAATTAAAATACACCAATTAATTGAACTAAATCAAGTAATGATATATAATAAAATTCGACAAAAAAATATATACAAAAATACGACAACTATTTAATTCAGAGAAAATTGAGACTTAAAAATGTATGATTTATCATTAGCACTATGTGAAAAAACTTCATAATGAAGAAAAAATTTAATTCAAGCAACAAAATAATTAAAAAAGTGCAGTTTCCACAGACTTATTTCACCTCAAAAGTTGACCACCTCAGATGACATGATGTCAGAGGGCAGTAAGTTACTGCGCTGCCTACTTGTTTACTAATCTGGTAATCATTACATCAACAAATAGGGTTAGCATACAAAATTAGAGGTCTGGTGCTTTGCATGAAAAGGGTGGCCTGGAAAGGAGTCAAATCTCGACCTGAATTATTGTCCCAGTCCACCCCTGGGCATTAGTATGCGTGAAATGCCACTAAATGCTTTATTATGAACTGGTTATGCTAACAATGGCTGGCTGGCCATAAACACTGTTCCTTTGCAACTGGAATGCCATCAACTCTGATTATTCGGGTGTGATGTCATCTCGTACTGTGTGTAATGGAATGGAGCATAAGATCCCTACTAAATGTGTTTATCACACTGTTGTAACCTCCCAAGCTTAGCAGCACCACCGGCGCCTGTGGGCAATGGACAACAAAATGATCAGCAACCTTCTGGTGAAGGGTACCGCTCCTCACCGCAACCAGCTCCACACACATTACCTTATGTCACTGCTGCCGTAAACGATAATGAGTATGTCCTGCCAGTTCTTCCCTCTAGGCCTGGTAGAAGAAGTGATGCAAAGTGCACCATGTCAAGCCCCAATAGCTAAACTACTGCTCGCTGCGATAAGGGCTGAAGTTGGAGCCATAGATACTAAAGCTCTGTCCTCCCCATGTCAGACAAAGCTAGCAAATACATACACACAAAATGTGAATAAATGTGACGCAATATATCATTATATCTTGTGAAAATCTAAGTGAAAAAAAAGAAGCTTGCCTTCATTTATTAAATTTTCACATCTCATAGAGAGATAGCTTTTACCTTGCAAAGTGCTTCATACATGAGACACACGATGAGCACACATAGAGTGCTCCAACAAGGTGTCTGTGCTAACATCCACTAGCTTCCAATGGACTTTTAGGCCTAAAACACAGTCTAAGTGACCTTGTTTTGAGTTGAATATGAATGTCGGGGCTTGCGGACACTTGAATGACACCCTATGAGCAGTATGGAGGCATGTGATGATTTTTGTTGTTGTTTTATTATGTCTGAAGCTTTGGTCACCAGTTATTTGTATTGGATTCTGCTCTACCACTGTTTACCCTTGAAACTCCTAAAGTCTTTGGTGGACTCAAACACTTTACCCACCCCTCCATCGGCATAGTGGTGATTAGATAATGAGTACATTTTCTATTCTTGGTGAACTATCCCTTTGAGTCTATGTTATGTCCCTTAAAGTGACCCATGACAACATAGGTGTGTGCTGTGTGCGTGTGACATTACTTACTCTTTTCCAGCAAAGAAGACAGCACTGTGTCCAAATGAGGCTTGAGCTCATCCTCAATTAGCTCTGTACTCACACTGATAGCTTTTAGTGCTTCACTTAGAGAATCTGAAACAAACACAAACATACAACACCACAAAACATTGACAACAAAGGTTAGCAACAAGTCAGCTTTAAAGGATTTCAACACTAGACATCACAAAATTCTACACACTGTACCTTTAACAATAGATGGATGTACACTGGGTAAAGTAAATGGCCAGAGTTTCTGCAGAGTAATACCTAAAAGCATAAGGTCCTTATTGGCTGTGTGACGCATCTGTGCATGATGGGGCATGGCTAGTCGCACACAGAGCTGTGAATCAGCCAGTGATTGTGATAGAAGAATCAAACAGGTGATGACATTCAGCAACTACCTTGTGCTCTTTATAAACTAATGCTCGGTTTACCTTAAAATGAGTTTCATAGTTTATAGTAGTAAATTACTATGACTATTGATTAAACTGATGATTTTGCGTGACTTTAAATGTAACATTTGTTATTACTTCCTTACTTCTGCTCCCCCTCCCTGCAGTTGGCTGCCTACCAGAGCATCTATAAGCTTATTAATTCACATTATATACACCTCTCTGCACTTTCCTGCCTTGGTTTTGAGTTGACATCACGCCCTGATCAATTATATATATATATATAATAATATAATAATATATATATTATATTATAGGGAAGAAAATGTTGTTATATGTTCCTCCCATAGGACCACAAAGATATAGTTTACTCAAATACTGTCAAAACTCTGGCTGCTGAGGTGGTTCTCAGACCTGGCAGGATTTATTGCCACTTCATCTTCAGACCCTCTTTTCATCCTGAATCTGCTATCACTACACTTAGTCACATTGTCCAATCATCTTACTAAGACCATCAAATGCTAAAGGTCCTCTTGTTGGGGTAGTCACTTTGCTATCGCTCATGAAATAACAGGTTTGGACCCCTCTAATGGAAGCATAGCTCATATAGACGTAGATCTTGCAAGCTACCAAACAACACTGAGACTTAAATTCCCATTGGCCCTGAGCCTCTGTTTCCCACTTCCAGCCTGAACCAAATTACTCAGGTTCCCAGCAGTTAACCCAAACTTCAGCCCCTGGATCACAGAAGCCAGACTAAGGTAAACCTTGAAGGTACCTGGGGTGATCCCCAGGTACCTTCAAGGTAGCCCAAGCCTCAGCTGCCAATCTAGTCAAGGTAATGCTGCCCAGCTATCCAGTGTGTCAGTTTCTCAGGCATACTACGCTTCAGCTGCCCAGCGTGGCGAATGACATCCAGCCAGACCCTGAGTTGGTCATCCCCACCCGCATTACTTCTCATCCTGCATTGGGGGTCCTGAAAGACGACCACTCTGTTCCTACATCAGAGGTCCCAGTTAACATTGCATTTGGGTTCTAAAGCCAATTTCCAATCTGCTCCTGTGTTTGGGGTCTTTGCAGAAGTCACATCACATGTGTCAACCAACACTAAGCCTGCTCTGTGTGTGATGGCTGCACCAGCAGCAGCCACACACTGAACCTCAGCAACATGGTGGGAGCCTTTCTTTAATCTATTTAATTCACTACGTTTCTTTTTGCACACTCTTAAAATGCACACACCCACGTAGCGGTTTAGATAACTGGAATGGACAATCCTCAATCAATGATCTAACCAACATCTGCTCCTAATCTACAAATTTCTAGTCAGTGGTTCAGCTGACTTCAACTGCTGGTCTTCAGTCAGTGATCGCATCTGCTCCTTATCATGTACCATTTAAGTACAGAACCTCTAAAATTAATGAAATATAACCAGAAGAAAATTCCTAAAAGTAATGACTATTGAAATGTAATAGATAAGGCCAAATGTATCAAGGCCATAAGAAGTGTAAAGTATTGTGGGTAGGAGAAAGTGGGAACATTATTTAAGGGGTAAACTGGGGAGAACAGAGGTCTTTACTTTCTCTGCAGCCAAGCTGACTGGCGAAGGCCCTTCACAGTCACAGACAAGAGATAGAGAATCCTTTCTTTGAGAGAAAGCATCCATGGATTATATCTACAGCTTGGATTTAACAATTCTGGGAAGTCATATATCTCAACATCGAGACAAGCTGACAGAGCTGTGGATACTTTTGCCTGCTCTTCCATTTGAGTCTTGGATTTCAAAAGGATTATTGGACTTTGTACTGAGTCAGGAGTATTCAACAGAATTTAGACTTTTGGTAGGAAATGGGAAGTGGCTTTGGCCAAGGTGGCACCGACTCTCTCTCTTCAAATTGAATCAATTTTATTACAGTATGCTAAAGTTTTTATCTTTTATATTTTTACTCTGCTAGAATTAGACTATTTCAGTGGAAGCAGGGTAGACGTCTGGATGAAGGTAGCTAGGAGCTCAGCGTGTCTCCTCGCCACCAGTTTAAATTAGTTTTAGTGAATCTCTAAAATCTTTTTGGGTAAATCTCATGAAAGCCAGAGACTCGGATCCTTCAAACGGAGAGCTGGTCAGGAACTGCTTTAGAGGGGTACAGTGGGATCTAATAATACAAACAAACACACAGTGAGGTGAGACCTGCAGTTTGTAATCACCTCAGCTAATCCACTGTAAGTCGAATGAAAATAGCCTGAGTGTAAAGGGCTATCAGGCTAATACAGCTAATACACAGCCTGTGAGGACAGGATCAAACCCCCATGTCTTGTGTCTGTGTGTTTGTCTTTCTGTAGTTTGGAGGGCCAAATTATGTGTGTCTATGTAAAATGTAGGATATTTCAAGCAGGATGCATTCCTCATATCAGCAGCAGTGGCTTCTGATGAGACTGGGTGTGTCTTCAGCGTGTAATGCATGACGACCACTGGCTGCTGAGTTTCTGTCACTCCACTCTCATGCTACATAGTGCACTCTTACTGGCCACTGTGACTAACAGCTCGGTCTTGCAGGGTTGTTCTGGACAGAGCATGACACTGGAGTATGGTGCAATGCCTTAAACCATACAAGATGAAGCTATTTACATATTTTCCAATGTTATCTATTTATCTCATATCCTCAGTTAAACATCCACATTCCATGGTGCGATGCCTTACATAACTACAGCTCGTATTATATCCCATCATGCTAAAATAAAACACGCAAAGAGAAGGATGTCTCATATGAAGCTACTCACCGGTGTCCGACATGGCTGGTCGACGCTCTCTCTGTCAGCTGGCTCCCTGCCTCTGTCTGCTGGCACTGATTCTGTGTGTGTACAGCGGAGCTCCCTCCCTTCTCAAAGTCAGGTGTACCCTCTTTATACACAGTCTATGGGTGTACCCCAGCTCTGTCTCTCACTCCGGCTCTCTTCTCCTCACTCGTTCCCTCAATCCCATTATCCAGCGTCTTTTTCTTTCCCTGCCCCCATCTCTCTCTCTATCTCTCTCTCTCTCTCTCTCTCACTCTATCACAAACACACTAACAGAGTATCATGAGCAATCCTCATATATCTTCCTCTGCTTGTCACCCATTCTAACAGCACATCAATGATCTGATCAACAAGGTGTCTTTATGTCTTGCCACTGGTGAAATATGCAAGAGTTGAAGTTGGTGCCTCCCTGTCTCTGTCTGGATGAAAGTCCCTAAGCAAAGACACTAGAATGCACTCAACAATCACAAATATTCCTATGTAAACTTTATTAACTGTTATTCACTTAGTGCTAAAGAGAGTACAGTGCCTTATAACTTCCAGGTTGCATGCAGTGTGCATTAATGATTCAATTTAAGACTTAGATGAAGGTAAACACAGTTCTGAGTGCTAGCTTACTGAAAGTTCAAGTCTTTAGTCAGTCAACTTTAAATATTTAATTTCACCCTTTGATAGATGCTAATTTTATTTCCCTCAAGCCGTTTGCAGTTGTTGGGCTTTTGTTCTCTCTCCTCTTTTTGTGATTGCAGGCATACAGTGGGTGTTATATACATTTATTTCATAACTTTATTTGTTTTATGTGAATGTTATGTGGCCAGTTGTGAGCAGCCTGTTTATTATTTACCCTTTATCAGCCACTGTTTATTTACTGTTGACCTGACATTTCTGTCATTTTTGATGGGCTATCATGGAGCCCCATGATGGCCATCGTGAATTCCCTACTTGTTTGGGCATGGCACATTTGATGAATGATATTGTGAACCCCTGTGTGGCAGAATGAAGCCCAGTACCTTGCCACAACAGCCAAGGCATCGGGGCATGAGCACTCAAAGGAATCCTCTCCTGACAGGTTACCCTCCTATCGGGAGGAGAATGTTGTTCAGCCTGATGTTCTCTCTCTCTATGTTCAAAATTCCTTTTATGGATGATGAGCAGTCTGATGGTGCTACTGGGCTAGAGTGACCTAAATACACACAATTTGAGGGGGCGTCCAACCTCACCAACATGGGTGGCAGTGAGCCTTCACCCACGGATGTCATCTCAAAGGTTACAAGTGGGATTTGGGCAGGCATCACTCAGTCCCCCCATCAATCAGTAGCTGTACGTGTGGCTGGTGACTACTTGCACATGCCCAGGAAGGCATGGAACACTCCTAGTGGCGTACCTTGGTTCAATACAGGTTGCAGGAGACTGGCTAAGATCCAGTATGCTCCCGGAACAGAAATGGGGGATATGCCTCCAGTTGATGGCAGCTGTAATGTCTCTGGTTTCAAGTTTCCTATTTAATACATAATGGAGCATTTTCTGTGTCTAATGCCCAGGTCCAGTACGTCAACAAAGGGGGCTATATATAGATTCAAGATGATGATATAACCCACTGTTTTGGATGGTGCATAGCTCTGCCTGCTAAAGGTTTAATCAACATTTCAATTTAATGTCTTGACAGAACATCTTGATTGATAATAGATGTGGCATTGATGCATGTCGTAGTTTTAGATTCTATTTATCTCTACAGATAGTTTTGAATGAGAATAGCTGGGGCATGGCCTGGCCAGTGTTAGCTTCTGTTTTTTCTGTAAGGCTCTACCAAAATGTCTTCAATCCTATATCGCCACACACTTTCTTTCAAAGTAGCAGTTCTGGATTTGCAAGGGAAACTCAACAACCTATGTCAGTTTTGTCAACAAGCTCCTGACTTTCTGTCTTTATTTTTAAAGCCAAAGGCAAAATCATCACAGATCTGCTGCCACACATAATCTGTACATGACACCATAAAGATCAATGAGGCAGATGATATTACAACAACTAGAGCTACCACTGAAGAAGCTGCTTTTTTATGAATGGGCGAATAAGACTTAACATCATGGGAAAAAAGAGGTACTTTAATATGTTCTGCATCTAAAATGTCAAACCAAAAGTTGGAAATTTAAATGTGTATATAGAACATTCAGCATTAGATCCTCCTCCTGCTAATTGCCTCCTTCACCGTCATCCAGCAGGAACTCGCTGATCTCCTCCCTCATCTTAGACCTGCACAACAGCATAACAACTTAGTTGATGACAGAAGGGTTACATTTCCTAGTTTAGTTAAATTATTTAATGACATTGTAAATGTTAACAGTTATATCCAAGAACAATGTATCCAAGGGCAGCTGGATTTGGTTGTAGATAATTATATAACTTTTCTCCTGACCTGGATGATTATGAACCTTCACAGAATTAACACTCAAAATATTTATCATTTAATAAATGTGCAGCATTTTCTCAATGATTACAACAGCAAGCACTAGTGAGACTGTGGGTTTCACACAAATGCTATTTCCTAAAGCAATTTGCTAGTTTCCTTTTTGGCTTCAGTAGACGACAAGTGGAGTCAAGGTTGAAGAGTAATCTTTTAAATATATCAAATATTCTCCTCACCTTCTTTCCCTCCTTTGAGCCTCTAACAGGATGTACTGAGGGAGATGCTCCACTGATGACTGTTAAAGGAAAAGCAATAGCAGGAGTAGTAAGCTGGGAAAGGCCTAAATGTCATATTGTTGAGAAGAGATGTACATGTTGACCCATAGCTGCAGGTTCCGTGAATAGACTCGCACATCTGGGAGGGGAGCAGGTTGGGTGGTCCAAAAGTGACAAAACAGCTTTAACACTATTATAAATTACAGAAACATTGACTGCACCACTGGCTTGAGATTACAGTTCCATCTCCCTTATACACATTCATGTCCTGTTATCCCCAGGCTGCCAATGACCTGCATATAAAATATCATAAACATCAACCATACATCTCTCTATATCTTACCATATTAAGATTCCTCTTTATTGTCCCACACACAGCATGCAACATGCAAACATGGGGAAATTTGACCTCTGTATTTAACCCATCTGTGTGAACACAATACAGTCCACACAGTGAACAGTGGGCAGCCATGAAGGTGCCCGGGGAGCAATTGGGGGGTTCGGTGCCTTGCTCAAGGGCACCTCGGCAGTACCCAGGAGGTGAACTGGCACCTCTCCAACTTCCGGCCACCCTCTGGTTCCCAAGCCAAGTCGCTATGGACTGAGCTACTACCTCCCTGACAGGTCAGGATATAATTATCATGGCCTGTCCTCTCCTATCAGCAGCAATGTGTTTCAGTGTTGATAATAGAGTTCACCTATGAGGTTTTCTTTGCCCCAAGTGTTATCTAGAGCATTTATACTTCACGGCCAAAATTATTTGTATTTTTGTCAGGAAGAAGAGGCTACCACGAATAACATGACAGGCTTCATCAGCAAAAACTTTAAAACAGAAATAAAATAAACTTAAAAATGAATAGCACGTGACAACATGCAGTATGAGACAAAACTAGTTTTTCCAATGAAATATTTTACACTCATGATAAACACACACAAAGAACAATGGTTGCATTACAAGTGGAAATGACACCCATTCATTATGTCCAGAATGTTTAACTCACCATATCTTTGATGGTCAGGTGACAGCTGTAACACAACAGGGTCTTCAGATTGGTTTCCTCTCGTTCCCTGTAATGAAAGAGCAGAACAAAAATACAAGTGATAGTCATAGAGGTAGAGTGTGAAGAAGATGACTTGAAGAGTTTAATGGTCTGTCTTAAAGTAGAAAGAAGGATTTATCTGGTCACTGAACCAAGGGAAGTCCGCTTGCTGTTGCTACAGCACATTTTTTGCAGTTGCACCCCAGAAATGACATAATGTGATGAGAACAAATAAGGAGAATGACCTTCTCATGAGCCTCATCTAAACAAGGGGCTTATTTACAAATGTGTTAGCATTGTTGTTAGTCCTGGTCTCATCAGTTGTGTATTCAATTCCTGACAATCACTGCCCAGCTAAGATACATAAATATCTAAACACTTACTTGGCAGAACAGCAGCCTTCACCACTCTCAGCTCTCCCACAATCCTCTCCTCCTCCAGAGGAACAGCACTGTCCAGAGGGATCACTTGACTCTAGCTCCACTGGAGCTTTAATGGGAACACAGGAAACAGGTTTTTAACAACTGACAACTGTAAGTCAAAACTCAGCTGTGGGCTTTTACTATACTGCCTTTATACACTGCATTTGCCCTCTGAATGACAAAGAAGGCTCAAACACAGAAAACTGCTGCGGTACATCATATAACTTCAGCCAGAGAGGGTTCTGATTCAAATGAAAATGACATAGATGTATACTGTACCTGGGTTTAGTCGATCGCTCCTAGTCCTGGCAGGATATTTAGTCTGGGAGAGCTGCTCTGAGGTCAGTGTAGCCTGATAGGATGACGCATTCTCTGAAAGAAATGATGGAGACAAAGGGAAGCAAAGAAGGGAGAGGACAAACTCATGAATGACTGACTATTCATGTGGGGTGAAGCCAAACAAGACTTCACTGCTGAGGGTGTTCAAAAATAGCTTGTTAAAAAACCTGTGACCTTCCTTTCTCTGCACACTAGTGATCAACATGTCTGTGTACACCCACTGCCTTAGTCTTATACAGGCTCACAGATGTTTCACATACAGTCTGCACATATTGCATCCTGTTAAGTGAACAATAACAAATGGCCTTTTGGGAAGTATTTCTGTGTGGTTGAGTGAATACTCTGCAGACACAAACTCATTAGTGGATAAATGGGAAAATTATTAAGTTATGTTTACTATACATGACACTGAATGTTAATTGATTGCATTTGGCTCAGAGACGATCTACATGAAGAGGGTAAAATGTTGTTCACACAGTAATAACCATCGGAAAGTTTAACTACAGTTGTCAATAGTTAAATGTTCCTGTACAAGACTCCAAGGAAGGGAAGGTGTGAAATCAGTTCAGAATATCTTAGCACCATCATCTCTGCTAACCATAAAAACGGGTCAGCAATGTTTACTAAATTTTATTTAATTTATGACACATTATTTTTATGGAAACAGACTGCCGTTTTGAAGGAAGCTCACTCCAAGCTATAGAGATTCAGGAAAAAGCTCCACAAGATTAAGAGCT